TGAGCGCTGCACTCCAGCGTGGTGCGAGGCAGTTCATCTTGCTTGTAGGACTCTGTGAGGCCACAGGCGGCTCCTACTGTAGCTCTCCCAAGAGGCAGGGATGTAGGGCTGTGTGACAGGTGTGTGAGACTCGGGGTCTCCTTTCCTTAGTCTGAGCTGAACACGGAGAATGAAGCTCACGATGAGTGAATGCCGTGTCTGACGGTGCAAAGCTGACACATACGCAGTAGTCTCTGCCTTACAGATGTTCCTGCGTGCACACACGTGTAATACAAGTCATGCAAGAGGGGAAGCCCGCCCCTCTGTATATGTTGGTCTTCCACGTCCTTTAGAATCTTACCCGGCCTCTCATGAGCTCCTATGTAGTCCAACCAGCTTGCTTTTAGAAGTTTTCCCAGAACAGAACCCTGCTTAGTCTCTAGAGCGAAATAAACAAACACCCCTCCGTCCACTCTTTCACTCCACTTCCCATGAGCCTCCCACTGGCAGACACAGCGCCAGCCTTGCCGCCAGCACGAGGTCTCACATCATTGTTTGGTTGCAGGTTCGTGAGCTGGAAGGCGAGCTGGACCGGGAGGTACGCCGCAGCGCAGAGGCCCAGAAGGAGGCTCGAAGACTGGAGAGGGGCATCAAGGAGCTGACCGCCCAGGTATCCCGCGCCCCTGCTTCTGTGCGTGCGGCTGTTCCTTCGCTGCGGAGATGTGCTCCATCCGGAGTCTCACTCCTTTGGGGACGCCTGCAGGGCCCGCTGGACCTCTGGTCTCCCTCAGTGGCAGACACTGACTCACCCTCCTGGGACTCTTGGCGCTATCTGGTTTGGGGCTGGCCCTTTCCACAGGTGGCACATTGTAATTAGAAGTAAAAAACTATTTATAGTGTTCTTATTTTTCACACCCAGTTTGTAGCTCTTGGAAAGCTGCCTTCCTGCGAGAGGCTCACTGGGAACAATGTGTAAATGAAGTGGCTGGTAAAGGCTCGGAGGGCCACAGGCCAGCACAGTACGCGGGATGGTGACTAACTGGCGCAGGGGACATCTCCACCCCTATTTCCTGGTTGCTCAGGCAGGGCCACTCAGCACTTTTGCTGCTGCCAAGTGGAAAAAAAAAATGTTAAAGCAAATATTCTCCAAGTAGTTCTGGATCTAGCCTGTTGATTCTTATTGGCTCAAACAAGTAACTGAAAGGAGGTGAGCAGGTCTTATAAGCAATTAATGCAATGTAACCCTTCGGCTACATTTTTACTTTCTCTTTTTCCCTTTTCCTTCTGATGAAATAGTAAGGTTCAGTGATAGTAAGTGTGGTGTATTGTTCTTCACTCTAGTGCTGGCATAGTCTTGGAACACAGCTGGTTACACACACACACACACACACACACACACTGTGCTTTAGGACAAGTACCATTGTGAGAAAAGCATTGTTTGCCATTTTCACAGCGGTGTGAATACCACACAGTGTAATTACACAAATCTCAAGTGCTGTGGCCTCCTACAGACCTAGGGTACAAGGCAGAACCGACTGCTCCTAGGCTACAAACCTGTACAGCATATTATTACACTGAACACCGTAGGCATCTGTAACACAATGGCAAATATTCATGCATGTAAGCATATCTAAACATAGGGAGGGTAACTGAAAAAGATGGTGTAGAAGACAAGAAGGTTACACGTGCATAGGGCACTTCCCCTGAATGGAGCTGGTGGGGCTAGAGGCTGCTCTAGCTGAGTCAGTGAAGGAAGGTAAAGGTCTTAGGTTGTTGCTGTACACTGTTGCAGACTTTATAAGCACTGTATTTAAATATATTAAAAAACTTCTCTTCTTTAATAGTGAATCAGCCTTAGTGTGCCTTTCAGTTTATCTACTCATTAGGTCCCACCTCTTAAAGGCCCTACCACCTTTTCCTACTGCCTCTCCATAGCCGGAACCTCTAACACTTGCCTTTAATGTCTTTGAGGGACAGTTAGCATCCACTATATCTGTCACTGAAGAAGTTTACACTCAATGGAAGAGGTAAATGGAGCCAATAAAAATGGAGCACCTGGGATATGTCTTGATTAAATCTGTTTTTCAGTCTCCATCAGGGCTGAAATATTTTCTTCCTTCGGGAAGTTCAACACCTCTGAAATGGAAGTACTGCAGTTAAAGGGTCATGGGAGAAAAGGTGCCTGAGGAGTCCCATCTACCTGCTTGCCTCTTCTCAGAGTAACAAAACCTCCATGCAACACAGTTAGGGAGCTCTGCCTCACCAGCTCTCCTTTCTCTAGCCAAAGACTGGACTGTAAGTGAGGTGACAAGAGCAGGCAGACCAAGGTCCCCACAGTTTATTGAATGTTCCTTTGCTGATGCACATAAAAGTCTCAGAAAAGACACCTTTTCTATAATTCCATTATCCTAAGACAATGAATCAATTCAAAAATTCGAGGGATGAGTTGATTTGGTTGAGGGGTGGTTTCCTGTTTTGCATATATGACCTGCAGTAATATGTTCCCTTCCTAGTTTGACACCTCAGGCAGGTATGTCTTCGTTGAGATGGATACTCCTTTAACTATACCTAACTTCCACTCCAGTAAAAGCTGATTCCTGGCTCTGATGTATCAAGAGAAATGGCTCTGTCATTCACAGAACTGTGTTTATTAATTTCTCAAAACTTGGGATGCATAGACTTCAACCATTTTATACTTCTCAGATGCTGTTTATTAAAATGTTCAACCCTTATTTCCTCCCTTGACTGTATGCCCAATATAGACTGCTGGATCTTTCAACTCACCTTCACATGTGCACCTATACATTTCAGGCAGAGGAAGACAAGAAAAGTGTGAGCAGGATGCAGATGATGATAGATAAACTTCAGCTGAAAGTGCAGAGTTACAAGCATCAAGTGGAGGCAGCGGTAAGCGCAATTGTAACCATATGGCTTCCTAGCCTTTGTTTTTCAAAGCCTCAGCCAGGTGTCTAGCTGGTCAGAGAAGACCTGCTGGAATTAATGTCTTCCCACTGTCTGGTTTTTCTTGTTAGAATTGTTGCTCAAGGAGAAATTTGTGCTGCTTTTCCCTCCAGGAGCAAGAGCTCCCTCCATGAAGCTCATGGTTATATGCAAACAAGTGCACTAGAAGAAATGAGCCAGATAAGAGCAGGGTTTCACACAGGGATGGGAAATTTTGGGCAGGGTTTCTCTAGGCCATCTCTCACCCCAAAACCTTGGATGAACATAAACACAGTTCATAGTACTTTCTTTTGGTGAGCCTGTGCATGGTTGTGGACAAGACCAATGTCACTGAGGTGTACATGCCATCTTTGGTTTAGTATCCATAGCAATATGGATACTAATAGTAATTATTAAGTGCTACATATATTGGTTTACGCCTAATAATATTTTTGAGGGGTTTGGAGTTGATTAGTTGTATTACTTTAGTGAAAACATTTCTATACTTAGTATTTATTGATTCATAATATTAAAGCCCACCCTCCTCTACTTAGAGATAGAATAGTATATTGAACTATGATTAAAAAAACAAACTGTGGTTATTCCACTACATAACAAGTCTGTCAATGCAGTGCTGCATGCATTTGGTGGACAATGCCCTCCAGTTTGTGAATCCTCAGGGAAAAACAGTTACAAAAATGGATCTTCATGCTTGCTAGAAAGTTTTACTCCCCCTGTCTTAGACCAAAGTAGGGTATTCCATTCAATACTCAGAAGTTTATACTCCATTCACATTTTTCAACTTTCTCTTCTCAGAGCAGAAACTATCATGGAGGTCTGTCAATCTCTTTCTTCTTATTTTTATAGGAGGCACAAGCCAATCAATATCTTTCCAAGTATAAGAAGCAGCAACATGAGCTGAATGAAGTGAAGGAAAGGGCAGAGACAGCAGAATCTCAGCTCAATAAGCTCAGAGTTAAAGGAAAAGAGTTTGGAAGAAAGGTACGGCAAGCATTCAACTCTGTTGTCATTTTTACAGCTTGTTGATTTAGATCTTTACATAGACCAGTATAACAAGATACCTCTTGTTTTTCTCTTTAAAATCCTTTTGTAAAAACACCAAAAAAGTTGTTTAAATAAAATCTTTCTGTGTTTACTGAATAGTACCTGTTCAGGTAGTAGAGCAATGTTAAGCATTTGAGGATGAAATATATGTATGTATAATAATATTATTATATATATATATAAAATCTCAAATACTTAATTCCAGGTTAACTTGTGGGCTCTGAGCTTTGGAAGTTCAGTTCATTTGTGTAGAATATTCAATAGTCCATGGAGCACAGGTGATTTTAAAAGCACAAATGGATCTGCCAGAAATACTGAGTGAATACTTTCCGTGGTGGATAAGTAGATGACTTCATACCATGTCAATAAGGAAACTTAGGGAGATGATGTTTAAAATTGAGCAAACGAAGGTGAACAGAGTGGAAAGAGGCCCGCTTTCTATGTCTCTGCTTTTTTTCTTGATTCTGCCCCAAGCACAAAGGAAGGATTTTTCTTTGTCTCTGTGGCTCATGGAATGTTTATTATGAACCAGTGGTTGAAGCTGATATCATAATTTTATGGGCAAAGTGGAAGAATGGCGAAGAACTTCTAAAGTGAATGTTTGGCAGGGGCAGAGGAGCCTCAGCTTTCTGAGATCTTCTCAGGAACAGTTTTCACATGTGGTCTGACTTTAGAAATAGTTAAAAGAGAACAGATAATGTGAAATTAGTCCCCATTCACAGAATTCCTGTAAAGCACTCATCACACTTTCCAAAATAGACAGGTATCATCTTTCCATTTTAAAAATTGTGGTGCATGCTGAGTCCTCTTATGGATGATAAATAAACTACTAGTAGCCTTGGAAGGTTAAGTTGGTTGGGTTGCCAATGATAAATACTACTCTAAGGGAGGAGGTCAAATTGATTTACCGAAGAAGTTAAAGGTTGGTTACATTAAATACATACATACAGTCATACCTTGGCACTTGACTGTTTGAAACTTGTCAAATTTGGTTCTTGACATTTTGACATGAAAATTTTATTCTTGAAACATTAGAACTTGTGGGTGATTGTTTGCCTTATGACTACCTTTACTAGCCCAGGCAATTTATTTTGTATTTGTCATTTTTGGTACTTGTCATGCCTTCTGGAACCAATTAAGAGTACTGAGATATCACTATACTTGGCCTGAATATGAGGAGAATAACACATTGGCAGCTCCCAAGTTTCTTACTGCTGGCTGAATAGCCATTTCAGGAATATGCCCTAAGTGAGGGGCTGTACTGACGTGCTTTGAATGCAGGCTCGGTTTGAGAAGGGTGACGGCACTAGGTTTTGGGTCTCCTGTGGGACCCACTGGGCAGGTAGATGCTTCCCATATTCCCCAATTTTCAGCTGCAGGAGGTTGAAGGGTCTTCAAAACAGATGGCATGCATTTGACTTTGTCACAGTTACTTCCAACAATGAACAAAATGGGCAAAGCAGAAATTGCTTCTGGGAGGCCAGTGATGAATAGAAGACCTCCCTTGGCAGTGTGATGATTAATTGTTTCCAATTCACAGAACAAAAACCTGAAATCCCTCAACTGTCTTGAGGAGGAGGTTTTCTGATGACATTGTGTGTCAGGGCTGTGGCACAAACGGGTGATGCGGCTGCAGAATCTTTTCCCCCCTGGGCAGAAGGGAGATAGAAAACCAAGAGTGACAAAGTATGTTCTTAGGGTAAATTACCAGTGCCTGCTTTCTGTAAAGCAGATAATCACCTCAATTCCCTGGCTCCCTTTGAAGCTAAAAAAGAGTTGGCCTAGGCCTGCTTATCTCTGGAAAGGACTTGGCATAGGTCTGGACATGTGCTGCGGTGGTGAAAGTCACTGGAATATCACAGAAAACACTCGACATTCTGTTTTTCAGGTTCGTGATGAATAAGCAGTGCCTTCTTATAAAGGACAGTGAATGGAGACAGAAGAGGAAGACGCCATTTTATGGCCCAAACCTTTAGTTGCATTTGAAACAAACGTTTCAAAAATGTGTGCTTTTGTGATGTGGAAAGCAATTAAATCAAAGTGATTAGAAAAATGTAAAAATTAAAGAGAATCTCATTTCTTCCAAGGTTAATGGAAGTTTTTTGATCCTCAGATGCAAGAAAATTACCTTCTAACAAATAATATTGAAGGTTAAATAGATGCAAGAATCTTTTCGTTTCTGATGTTAAAAAATATTGCATAGGACTCATAGGTGATATCCTCATACCAATTATGCTCCACGGGGACTAGGACACGTTGGTAAAAATTATCACTGAAGTTAGCTAGCTTTGCCTAATTCACTCCTACATCAATAAACCTATATTTTTAGCCATGAAAATGGACATAGATGTGGTCGCATTTAGATACTTTGAACCTTAAGCAAAACTATCCTGATCCACACCCATATGAGCCAGGTGGTGCAAGGAATTAACTACGAGGCAAAGACTCAGCCAACAAAACCTTCAGTGACAGGTTGCACGCAGATTTTGTACTGTAGCAGTGTCGCTCAGCTGGAGGATTATGTCCCAGAATTCCTCTTTACATGATTCTGGTAGAGTTGATCACAGGAGACATATATAGGTAAGTAAAGCAGGCCAGTGTAAGTAAAGGAACAGCTATTTTATGTGTGTAAAGTCCGTATATGTCCCTAGACACCGTGACAGCTCAAAGATATTACCCCAGGGCAAAAAGAGTGAGCTAGCAGAGATTAGAAATAGCCCTGTGGAATGCCAGATCCCTGGGCCCATAGCTCTTCTTCTTGTCAAGTTTCCTTCAGCCTTGCAGAGTGCTGGCCGGGTGTGTACAGCTTCAAGGCAGCCAGCACCAGCTTTTCTTAAAGAACACCCACAGCATCGCCAGAGAGGCCGTGGAGGACAGAAACGATTGTTCTTACAGACATCCCTTCACACTTACACTTTCCACTCCATAGCGCTTTCTCCTTCCTGACACTGGTGCACTGATCCATAGCCTCATCAGACCCGGCACTCACATCTGTGGAAGGTTGAAGCCTTATAATAAGCCCTGTTCTCTGTCATTTTCAGTGGTCCTGCCTCTCTGATCCAACCCAACCATACAGGAGGCTCCAAGATTAATTCAGGGGCTCAGTGGTATCAAAGATCCCAGGTTCATTCTTGTCTAACATCCTCCACATGTTGGCTTCAGTTCTTCAGTCTGTCTCCCTCGCTGTGTAAGAGGACGACAGTAGTTCCGAGCATCTTCTCTGGCACAGTATCTGGTGTTGTTTCTTGAAGTCTAGAAACGCCCTCCAAGAAGTTCTTGGCAATACTTTCCCTCTTGTCCCATTGACCGTGTGTCTGGATCAAGCTTGTTCATGGCAAGACAAAGGCCGGGATGGGCTCAGACAGATCAGGGCTGATCCTCCTGACCATGAGGGCCACTCCAAGCACAGGGAGCCAAATGAGAGTTTCTAGATTTCGGGGTGTGGGGTGTTATGGTTTGTGATTGATTCATTGTCTAGTGCTGGGATTATGGGTGTGAGTGCTACACCCACCCTAGGGCGGGTAGTCACATATAATATAAGGGACAGAAAGTCTTCTCTCATGCTCCTCCCTTTTTGCTCTTGCTGTTTTTGCTGTTTTCCACTGCCAAGGACTGTTGCCCTTTGTCATGTACCACTCTGCCTTGGAGCCAGCTGAGTATGGACTGAAACCTCCACAGACTGAGCTAAATAAACCTTTCCTTCCTTAATTTTGGGTGTTCGGTATTTTGTCCCAGCAATGAAAGAAAAGTAGTTAAGACAGGGTAGCATACCCACTTAGCAAATGGCTGTGCTCCAAAACAGTGTTCTCTTTACCATCAATCTCAGCCCACTAAGAAAATACTCAACATTTAATATGTAACTTCTAGGAATTTCCTGGAATAGTAAAATGTTCCTTCAAATTAAGTTTGAAATCATACTTTAATAGGCTGATATTTTTATCCAGAAGACACCTCTATGTCAAACTTTTGCCAAGAAACTTTCTACTGTCACATTACCAATCCTGAAATCAAAATTCTGTAATTTCTTCACATCCTAGACATACACTTAGTAAAATCAGAGTATCACCAAACTTCAGGTTGGGAACAGAAATCTAATTTTGATATATTATTACATATTAATTTATTATTAAAATTATATTCTCTTACTCAGATACAATTGAAGTAAAAGCCAAGCTCAGAAGCAGAGATATCAGGCACTTAAACATTACGTTAGTGGAATTTTTGTTTCTATGGGAGTCCTTCACATTTTACTCTTTATGACAGCTCTTACAACACCATAGCAAACACTTAAGAGTTGACAGAACTGTGGAATTCTCTGCATCACCCAAGGTCAATGTCTGTTTAGCCTGACTGCGGAGGTGGAAGACTGCTGACCCTGAAGAGCCAACACGTCTTGGAGATGAGGTGTTTTGCCAGTTCAAGCAGAAATGGAACTTACGGGGAAGAGGAGAAGAGGGCTCCCTGGGGTACAATCAGATAAAAGTTAATTATTCAGCCAAATGGTCATTGTGACTTGCTTGCCTGTCTTGCTGCCTAAAACAAAGATCTATGCTCAGCAAAACCCTTCGCTTTTATCGTCCCTCAATAAATCTGAGGGTTTGAGTCACTTCAGGGCTTCACTCCAAGCCAGTGAAGCCCCTCCTCCCCAAGATATTCTCTGTCTCTTTCATCTTTATTCATCTTGTTAGTTTCCTGGCCCAAAGCCAGCACAGAACTATGGTTAAGGTATGAAACTGTGAAACAGAGGCCAGTGAAAAGAGGTACAGAAAATTGGACCTGGTGGCAGCCATGCCACACTTTAGAGATTGCTTTGTCCTATAAACTATGGGCTCAAAACCCTGCTTGTCTAAATGATGAGTTAGTCACTTTCTCATTACTGGGACAAAATACTTAACAGCTACAATTTGAAGGTGTGGCTTATTTTGGTTTACAGTTTCAGTGGGCTTAATCCATGGTTTACTGGCTCCAAGACAAAAACAGCATGGTGGAGGACCTGGTAGAGGTTTTTTGCACACCCGGTGGCAGCCAGGAAGAGAAAGGGAGGAGGCTTTTCATGCGCTTTCAAGGTCATGCCCCCAGTGAGCTGCCTCTTCGGCTCAGGTCATACCTCCTAACAGCACTTTCAACTATGAACCCATCAATGGATTAATCTGCCATTATCCAGTCGCCTTCCAAAAGCTCCAGCTCTGAACATGAGATGACTTTGTGGGGGGGTGGCATTTTAAGTCTAACCCATAATATCTGGTAAAAAGGACAAATTCACAAACATTAATCTTAGACTAGTTCTTTCATATAAATTAATGACTAAAATTAAGGGGGTATAGACCACCATGTCAGCTGGATTCCCTCTGTATGAAACTTAGATTAAAACCCAAATCCAGTAGATCTATTAGAAGTCTGATTAATATGCCAAATGAGCTTGAAGAGTGCACCAAATTATTCTCATGCACAGAGTTACTCAGCTGTGCAAGCTCGACGTTAGCAGTTTCAACCCAACTCCAGATGTGTGAGTGCTTGAGTTGTCAGAGCCTTTTCCCTAATTAGTCTCAGAGGTACTGACACTTTTACTCTTTGGGGTCCCTAAGACCCACCATATTAAGTCTAGTTGGTTATGCTGATACAACCATTTATATAAAACCAGGGCATACCATCTCAAACCAGTTGTCTTGGTTCTAGGTCATTTTTTCACCTCCTCACTGAGGTGACTTCCACTCCTGTCTCCCCTCACCCATTATCTGCGGGTAGAATTCTGAAACAGCCACTAGTGACATGTTTCCTCTAAGTTCTTGGTAAAATCCTCAGTATTATTTTTCTGATCCTTGCTGAAATGTAGCCCTTTTATACATATCTTATAATTAAGGTCATATTAAGGCAAAGTGATAGAAAAGAGAATTAAAAAACAAACGTGAATGTAATAATAGCACATAGAATTAAATCTGGTAACTGGGAGGCAGGCCAGGGTTTGTGGCACTTAGTATAACAGCTCCAAATATATTTTCAGGCAGTTTAACTACAGAACCATCAGACCTCCTCTTCCTTTCACCCCTCCTTCTTTGTCCTCCTCTTTTAATTAACTGGCCAGTAGCCTGACATAGTTTTTGCCTGTGTACTCTGACTGCTCCTCCAGAACCAGAGTCCATTCTCCTCTCCGCTAAATGAGGTTGGCCAAGTTGGGCTTCATCTGTTCCCTTGTCCCCCAGCTGGCTATAGATCAGTAAATAAGAAGAGTTAGAACAGTTGTCTATTCTCCCAGCTCCTTCCCTGTAAGGTAATTTGGACTGGTTGTGTACTTTCTTCTATCAGTAGTCTGATTTTACACAACTGCTTCCTTTAGGAAATGTTTTCTCTTTGTCATATCAGGTTAGGTTTGCTCATGATGGTGCGGTGACCGGAGAAATACTGTATAGTTTTGAGTGTACCTTGTGTTTCCTGTTGGGCCCTGACTTGTGGAGATTTTGAAGACAGGCACTGTCCTTGAGGAACATGTGGCACCCATCTTCCATAATCTGAACATATCAAACAGTGGAAAGAATTGAGTTCATGAACCAAGGTACCATTGTAGTTATAAATGTAGTTATAAATATGTAATACTCCATATCAAATTATATATAAAGTAAATACAGAGGGGGGAAAGCATTTAAGAATCAGTCTTATTTTACTACAGAAAAATTTAATTTAAATAAATTATTTGATATTTTAAATTTATCATATTGGCAGAGAATTTTAAGGATAATACTGGGTGCTGATAAGAGACCGTTAGAAGCAATAGGTCAACTTCACTGGATTAAGAAATGACCAGTAGATTAGTAAGGCATGCTCCTGCGTATGTCTGAGAACCTTTCGAGCTCAGTTGACTGACCATTAACATGTCATCGAGAACTACTGGTAGAGTAAGTCATGAAGCTCTGTGTTTGACTTTCTTCCATTTTGATGGAATATTTATTCTTTTTTCAACTGTGAAAACATTTCAAAGCAAAGAAATATTGGCTTGCAACCCACTTGATCAATAGTCTTGTATCTCTTCCATTCTGGCCTGTACAGGAGTAGCTGGTGTGACTGTTGTAGCAGCCACTCACGGGCTCTTTCCATCTTGTATTGTCCCACCTCTTCCTCAGAGAGACAGACACATGGTTGTATACTGAAAGACATGAAAGGTGTGAAGAAATAACTTGGTGATTTTTCTAATTTTTCCAATTATCATTAGACAATTAAGGATGTCATAGGACTTAAAATGCTGATAATTCCTTCCATCCTATGTTAATCACATACTTAACTCTTCAAAGCATCAAACTTGCCTTTCCAGTGTTTTATTTCCAGTTGCAGGCAACAGAATAGAAAAAGCCTTAAGAAGAATTTAAAAAAAAGAAAATATAATTTTTAATCATCACGCAGAATTCCTGCCTGTTTCCTGATCATTTAGGAAATTTCACAGTGCTATCACTGTAGAGAAACACACATTGAGTATTCCTGATCTGAGCAGAAGTGTTCGGGGTTTTTGTCAGAGTTGACTATTTTTATATGCATAGTAAGATAACTTGGGGATGAGACTCAGTCTCAACATGAAATTCATTTGTGTTTCAGAAGCATCTTACAGATACAGTCTGCAGGTAATGTTCTGTAGCATTTACTCTACCTGTGTAATGGTTGCAACTTGTCACATGAGCTCAGGTGTGGAATTTTCTAATGGTAGCATCATATCAGGGCTCAAAATGTTTTGGATTTTGTATTAGGGATGCACAATCTATATCTACTTTTTTGTGCTCTTGTTCCTGTCTAATAATACAAATACCTAGCCTTGCACTGTAAAAGACATTACCTTAAAATCCACCGAGAGACAGTATAAGAATAAAGAAAGACAGCACTGCCTGTACCTTCTTGTCTTGTGGAGGTTATATCTCCGGAACTATCAAAGAGAAGAAAGGAATGCATGTTATAGATTTTAAATGCAAAAAGGAAATTGGAAAATAATTATAGTGTGTGACTCCAGATTAAACTATTGTACATTTACATGAATAATTATTTTGTAGCTATTAAACATGATATTGTCCAAGTTCAACAACATGAAAATTCTTAGCCTGTTATAGGGTAAAATCAGATTATAATGTCATTTTTAGATAACATGGTCACTTTTAAAACCTCGTTTACTTCTACACATAGGATACTAGCAGGATCCATCACTAAATAAACATTAGCATATTAGCTCTGAAGACCAAGTTTCACATCTGGATTAGAGTTTGCCATATGGTAGATGCAGAAAAATATATACTGAATGATAGACACACTGCTTTTGCAGTAAAATGCACTACAAAAGTTAATGCAAGTGCCAGAAACATTAGTTAGGATGTTGTTTATAATCATTACTCATTTAAAAACCTCACAAAAACCTGGAAATATATTCCTAAGTGTTCAAGAATAGAACAAACCATAAGTGAGCCATTAAAATCATAGTTTACAAAAAGCTTTTCAAAAACTCAAAAAAGTAAGAAAATATAGATGGCAAAATGTGTAGATACACAATATAGTTCCAAGTAAGTAAAATATACCCAATTTTCTCTATGATGAGATTATAAAATTTTTACTGTTTAAAAATAGCTTGTTCAAGGAATAGCATATAATTTGTTTTAAAGCTTTTAAAAGAAGATTTTTAAAGAAATGATTTGAAAATTCTACTATTGAAAGAAAATTTCTAAATTCATTCTGGTATGATTTTAAAATGATTAAAGCTATCCTAAAAAGCAAAATTAGATTCCTTCCTCATATTTTATCCAAATGGACCTTAGATTAAAACGGAGAGTTTCACTTAAACATGTTAAACATAAAAAGAGAATAACTGAATATACCATTTTGGAAGCAGGTCTTTTCAGCATGACTACGTATTTTTGATTACAGTCACATCTATGTAAAAATGAGGGAAAATGCAAAAAGCCAAACAAAACAACCAAATATTAAAATATAGTAAATAAGGAAAATACAATATGACAATATCATCACGCTAATAGCTTCCATGTCTCAGAACAATACCTAAAATATTTAGTAAAGTGGAAACTATTGTAAAATGGCATTAGTTATCAAAAGTCCTTTATATTTTCCTATAGATATATTTGAATATGTAATACATGAAAAGCTATATAACATAATGACTATCACAGAGTATAAAGTTTACAGGTAATTGTTAGATTCATTTTTCTACCGTGACTATGTGTAAATATGTAAAGTGTTTTCCTTGTAGAGGCCACAAGAAAAAAAACACTTGAAAATTTCGGTCCTACCCAAGGAAAAATTAACTCAGATCCACCAAAGTTAGTATAAATTTGTGACATTCCATGTCTATTGCCCCAGTGTGGGACAAACTGTTATAGGTTCACCTTCCCACTCTGTATAATGAATCTAGTACATCCTACATTCTCTTAAAATTTCCAGCATCTTGTTTTCCACTCTCTTTTTCAGAGATGTTCTTGGTTCATTAATTATTTTTCACCAGTTCTTGATAACTGCCTCATTCTCTAACCACTACTACTACACCAAGGAATTCACAGCTGTGAGAATTCTTCCTTTTGCTTCTTCTGCTCTTATTTTTAATGTGTCCAGTATCCCACATGCTTTTGCACTAAAAGAATGTGTCTCTGGAATTATTTCTTTCATCTATTACATCATCAGTTCATTATCTCACCACTAGATCAATTGTATAATCATAAATTATATCACTTTATATATAAAAACCTAAAGTTAGAACTAATAAAGAGTCAGTTGCAGGATAGAAAATACAAATATCAGTAGCTATTTTATACATTAATAACAAAATTACTGAGAAAGAAATCAAGAATGCAGCGTCATAATTGCTACTAAACTACAATACCTAGGAATAAATTTAAACCAGAAAGTGAATGACCTCTATAAGGAAAATTACAACAAAGAAACTGAAGTGCATGCATGCATGTACACACACACACACACACAAAGACATCCCATGTTCATGGATTGAAAAACATCAATACTGTAAATGTATCAATATTTCACAAAGGGATCTACAGATTCAGTGCAGTCCCTATCAAAATACCAAAACTGTTCTTCATAAAAATAGAAAAATCATTACTAAAATTGGCACTGAACCACTAAAGACCTTGAGTAACAAAAGCAATCTCAAGCCTAAAAAAAAGTTGAAGAGTATCCCAATGGCACAAAAGTAGGTACCTACACCTCAAAAATATCCATATTATCTGTCTATGCCACTATTAGGCATGAATTAAAAGCAAAGAAAATCAGTATATTGAAGATGTATCTGCACTCACATTATTAGAACACTATTTAAGATATCCAAGGCATGGAATCAACCTGGAGGGTCCCCTGACAGTAAAGGGATGAAAATAATGTGACATATATACACAATGGAGCCTATTTTTAAGTCATAATAGAGAATGAAATTTTGTCAGTCAGGGCAACATAGTTTGAAATGAAAAACATTTTGTTAAGTGAAATAAGTCAGGCACAGAAAGATAAATACAGGATGTACCTATTCATAAGTGGAAACTAATGAGTGGATCTCATGTAAGAGAAGAAGAATATTACCAGATCCTGGGAAGTGTGTCAGGAAGGGGAGGATGAGGAGAAGACGGTTAACAGGTACAGGGGCACAGCTGTATAGGAGGAATAACTTCTTATGTTTACCACAGAAGAATAAGTAGTTAATAAAACAAATGTTAGCAGCACAAAGAAATTATAAATGTCAGAGGTAATAGATATCCCAAGCAGCTCAATCTGATCATTGCACTTTGTATACATGTGTTGAAATGTCACATTGAACTGTATGAGTACGTACAATCACTATGTGTCAGAAAAAAAGGAAAAGTAACCATAATGGTATACCAAAGCCACTCTCCAAGAAATGATGATTGACTTACCCATAAATATCAGGTAAACTAGTCCAAATAATTCTACTAGAGCAATGATAATCAAACCTGAAATTAAAAGTGGGCCATGCGCTGCTACACATGCTGTAAAACACAATGAAATCTTAATTAGAAATGTCTACAAAATAACTGAATTTTTTCAAAAGACTAAACCACAATTGTAGTAAGTTCAAGTTTTAAGAAGAGTAACTCTTGTATTGATAAAGAAATAGTAATCATTTACATCTGTTGATTATTATTAAGTCAGTGGAAAAACTTGCAATTATTGTAAGAAAAAAATCCCTCCTTTACATCCTTATTCTATCAAGACTCCAATTAATTGGTGTGAAGTTTAAGACTCCAATGAATTGGAAACTGATTATTTTAAAAGTTCTTCTACAAATATAGCCATATAGTATTCCAGCCAAAAAATCAGCCCACAAGCCATATTATGTGCAATAGTCTCAAACCAATGTGGAAATCATTATTCCTCCTTGGGAGTAAGGGAGAACATAAAAGGAAAAGCTCACCACACCAAATGCTGGGGAGTTAATGGATAAACGGGAATTGTCATTCATTGCTGGTAGTGATAAAAACGGTGCAGCCATTTTGATACAGAGAGTATCAGGGAGCTTATTATAAAACTAAACATACCTTTTGCATACAATCTAGAAATTGCACATCTTGATATTCAGCCAAATAAAGTTGAAAATTTATGTCCACAGAAAAACATGAGACATATATGTTTATAGAAGCTTAATTTTAAAGTTTCAAAAAAACTGAAAGCAATCAAGACGTATCTCAATAGGTGAAAGCACAAATAAGCACCACAAATTGTGGTACATTCCCACAATGGACTATAACTCAACACTAAATAGCAGCGCACTATCAAGCTAGGAAAAGATGTAATGAAAAGGAAGATGCCTATTTTTAAGTGAAACAAGCCCATAGGCGAATGCCTCATATTGTATGTTTCAATGCTAAGACATTCCAAATGTAACAGAGAGAGGAAATGAACTAAGGAGATGATAAAATTTAAGGTTGTCAAGGATTCGGGGGAGGAAGAGATGAATTATTCTGTATGATGCCATAATGGTGGGCATAGGTCATGACATACTTGGCAAGCCCACTGGGACATACAATACCAAGAGTGAGCCCTAATGTATACAGGCTCCGGGTAACAATGTGTCAGTGCTGGTTCATCAATTGTAATGGATGTGCCACTTTGGGGAGTGATGTTAAGGGGAACTGTAGCCTTGCAGAATACATAGATGAACTGGGAGTACATGGGAACCCTGTACTTTTGATTTAATTGTACTGTGAATCTAAAACTAGTCTAGAAAATAAAGTTTATATTTTTTACAGGAAGAAAGAGTTCTGTCCAAGAGAAATCCTACTTAGGACTACAGAAAAATGTTACTCTTACCAGAGGCACAAAGGTATAGTCCAATTGCTGCAACTATATAGCCCAGCAACTGAATCACAGGTAATACGGCAGTGATCCCATCACCTCGGAGAAGGCAAAGGCAGTAACAGAAGCAAGTTAAGAGTACTGATGAAGCAATCATTCCTACTTGCTTTTGGTGCAATCAAGAGTAAAATCCCAAGACCACAGACAGACTCTGCAGTTCCTTGTCAGATAGCAGATGCTTGTCCAGTGATCTAAGGTTTTCATCCAAGTGTCAGCCTCAGATTCACACACTCAGCAGCCTTTTATTGTCAGCCATCTGAGCAGAAATGGCACTTTTTCTTCAAAATCTTAGAGCAAGAGTACTTAACCACCCTTGTGCATTTCACGGTATGGATGGTTATTATATATGGCTTCTCCATAGGTACAGAAAATTGCTCTAATACAGAAAACTCACCATGCAAATCTGATTATAGACATCATGACTTCTGTTGTGCGTTGAGATCACCAGTTATTTTATAATGAATCATTACCTTTTCATGTTAGTGATTCAGTGTCAAAATGTGGAGAAAATGATAGTGAGTATAGTTAGGATAGCCCTACTATCTTGTAAAACTCTAACGTCAAGTTTTCTCAATAACTATATAAAGTATGCTTCCTCTATTCATGATTTATCACTTCATGTGGTAGAACTCATTTCTCATGGAGACACTTAGCAAACAAAGAGAAAGTGTGTGTTCCTAAGTACAAAAAAACCCTGAAATCAGAATGTGAAGGTAATTCTTAGCATAGCATATGGCATAATTTAAAATTATGCTGACTAGCACCAAGGACAGCGTGAGCATCTCTAATCTGAAAATCTGAAATCTGATTCTAAAAAAGTTTTGGATCTTGGAACATACTGGATTTTGGATCCTCAAATTAGGGAATCCTAACCAATAAAGTCTCTGTAAATATTTCAAAATCTGAGAAACTCAGTTTCTTCACATTTGCGACACTGTCTCATTTACGACAGTGTGGTCTGTGTGGCATTTACGACATAAATTGACAGCACTGTCCACACTGTCGCAAGACCACACTGTTGCAAATGTGAAGACCACAAGACCACACTGTCGCAAATGTGAAGACCACAAGACCACACTGTCGCAAATGTGAAGACCACAAGACCACACTGTCGCAAATGTGAAGCACTTTTGGTCCCAAGTATGTCAGATAAGTATGTACAATCTGTACATACAAAAACCATTTTCTGCAATAGTGATTTACTGTTCTGAAGGCCTAAGATAACCTTAAAATTCATCTGCATGAGAATGTCACTAAGAATAGCATGTAAAATCTTTTAATAAATGAACTTATTAAGTTGTAAAAAAAATACAAGAATATTTTCACTAAAACTGCTGCTTTTAAAATGAAAAGGCAAGCAAAATCATTCTGAAATATCAGATACTCACCTGGAGTAACCCTATAGAACTGAAGTAATACTAACATCACTGAAGGACTTACAAGGAAATGAAGCCCACGAACTCTGTTTTGTGAATATTCACCTGTTAATAAGTAAACATATTTGAAATATTTCCCACATACTTCCTCTTCTAAGTTTGAGTACCTAATTTACTAAGTGCATTAATTTCAACATTATGCTAATAAAGTATGAAAGACTTAATAACATTTCTCCCCATAAGTCCCACAAAATGAGCATACATGTTTTAATTACTGAAAACCAAACCTAAGGATATAAATCTCTAAACATGTAAGTCTCAACATGGAGGCCTTGAATGGGCGCTATCTCCTTCTTCACTACCTTACAGAGTTCATGTGAGAAACTTTGCATTCATCGCTCACATGCCCTTCATATGATACATGAATTTGATCTGTCCCCACACCAAATCAGTGGTACTTTCAGGTTGTCTTCCCCACTCCCCTACTCCCCATTTGCTTTCCCATACAAATAGAGCTGTCAATTTACGTCGTAAATGTCACACAGACCACACTGTCGTAAATGTAGTGCGGACTGCACTGCAGTCTCCTGAAGAGTCGTGCTCTTCCACACCTCCCTTTGAGTCCAGCCGTGTTTGTGATTCTGCTCCATGTGTTCCGGGTCCTTATTTCCCACTCTTCCATAGCCCAGATGTAACTGCTACTTTCACATCTTCTCCAATGAAGTTTGCCTCTTTAGTGGGCTTAACAGTGGCCTAACCCATTCCCATTGCCCGGACCGTAGAATATATGAATATTATTTACATGGCCAAAAAATGAGTTACATTACATTGCATTACATTACATGGCAAAAGATATCGTTAAGGATCTTGAAGGAGGAGTGCATCCCAAATTATATGGGTGGGGCGCATTCCAATGACAAGTGTCCCTGTGAGAGAGCACCAGAAGTTTTGACACACAGAAAGGAGGACACACAGAGGTGAGCATGCGGCAGTGTGACCCTGGGGAGGCAGAATTTGGAGCTTTGCCACCAGGAGCCAAGGGATGCTAAGGATTGCTGGCAAATACCAGCAACTAGAAGAGGCAAAGAACGGATCCTCCACTGGAGCTTTGAGAGGGATTCTCCACCAGCTCTGGTGACAACCTGATTTCAGACTTATGGCCTCCAGAGATGGGAGATTTCTGTTGTTCGTAGCCATTCCATGTGCCACACCTTTAATTGGCTACCAACAATAGCCCTAGGAAACTACTGACCTCCCTCCCCAACCCTGCCTTCCAATGCCTTCCTCACGTCAACCCTGCGTTCCCTCACAGGAACTGGACATCTTACCTGGGGTGAAAAAAAGGGTTCCAAGTATGACAGCTGTGATGAGCAGTAGTCCATTAAGTGATAAAATAATAATGTTCTTATCCGTAAGACTGTGTTTATATTTAAGCACTTTAAAAAATAAAGAATTATATGAGCTCAGTCACAAAGAGAATCCATTTCTGTAATAGAAGATGCAGAATCAGACTGACCACTATACTTGAAAAACCTCGAGGAAGAACTCCTTCATGTTGTCAATTCAGCTAACATCTTTTTCATAAGCCAATAAATAAAGAGACTTATGGCAGTGTGAATGTGGAATGTGAATATGCAGGTTATTTTGGTCCCCTGTACTTTAAAGTATAAAGTTGCATACATCAGGCTTTCTTAATTGAGACATGGTTAACCTTTGGCGGAAGATAAGATTTTTGTCTGAGGGCCACTCTGAGTATTACAGAATATTGAGCAGAATCCCTGGATGTACATTAGGAGATGCCAGTATTAGTTCTCCACTTCTATGAATCAAAGTATCTTTAACACTGTCAATGTCCCCATGAGTAAAATCACCCCACACGGACAGCACAGTCCTGACACACATAATGCTGACAGGAAATAACCGGACAATTAGCAATACTGAGGAAAAGAAAACTATGTCCCACCTTATATGAAATTAGCAAAATATCTGAAGATATGGATATTTTTTGAAAAAGATGGTAAAATAACCATTGGAAACAAAACACCCCAGTGAAACTTTTATGGAGAAAAACAACTAAAACTTTTGACTAAAAATTTGATAGAAATAAGCAGTAAAGACTCAACTGGATTCATTGTACACAGTAAATTTCTGATTCTCAGTTTTATTGTCAAGTACCTGATACTCTCCCTGAAAGAATAATGTAATAGATATGCCTAAAATATTTTTTACAGTCTCCATTGACCTTTTCTGTTTTGGTTAATATTGCTGTTAAGGTTAATCTAAAATTGGACTGAGTAGCAGAGAAAAACAGGTTGTGTGAATGAAAAATTTTGCTGTGTGCCAACCACACAGTCTCTATGCCAGTAACCAATCGGTGACTACTGTCAAAGAAAAAACAGGAAGCGAGGTGTGGTCAAAATATATGGTGAGAGTTTAATTTTTTAAAGTTATTAAAGTGAAAGATACATTGCCATTAATCCCATCAAAATCCCCTCTGTCACTTCAATCACACACACCCCACTGTTCTTTTCCCCTTTCCTGGTGCATGTGCCATGCAGTGGAAAGCATACTTGTAAAACATTATGGTGCATCCTCATTCAACTTATTTACCAGGAATTGTACTCTGCCAATTCTAAGTCTTCCCCAAAGTCAAAATGACCATTAAAAGTAAATGTTTTCAATTATTCAGGACATGGAAGCAGCAAAGATAGTGCAACTAATGACATTTTTTTGGTTGCTTTCCTTTCAAAATACAAAATACAAAATACCTGCCACCCAAAATTAAGGAAGCAAAGACTTATTTAGCTCACAGTTTGTGGAGGTTTCAGTCCATACTCAGCTGGCTCCAAGGCAGAGTGGCACATGGCAGAGGGCAACAGTTCATGGCAGAAGACAGCAAAAACAGCAAGAGCAAAAAGGGAGGAGCAGCAGGGAGAAAGACTCTCTCCCTCATATTGTATGCAGGCTCCCTGCCTCAGGGTGGGTGTAGCACTCACACCCATAATCCCAGCATTGGACCATGAATCAATCAAAAATTTTAGAGGCCTGTCCCATGACTGCATGAGGCTTTGGGGAGACATCGAGACACGAACCATAACAGACACTGACAAAGGAGTCTTTCAAAGTTGTTTCAGAAAGTGCCAAGAATGATGGGACAAGTGTGTTTGAAGCAAAGCAGAACAGAGATTAATTTTAATGTGTCTTTTACTGTAATATAGTTTTTAAAAAAGTAAACATTCACCATAGCTTTTGATCATACATGTATTTTTAATGTTATACTTTGGACTTAATTTTCCCCACCCAAATGATGAATAGATGACATATAGTAAAATTATCAAACTTCTGAGTGGCTACAATAAAAATTTACCTTTAAGGTATACTTCACAATGGTTTCAATTTCTACCTACACATACTGTAGGTTACAGCCTTAGCTCTAGTCTCTTTAGCAAGAGGTCTAAGCAACACTCATTTGTGAAGCAGATTTCATGGAAATCACATGAACCAGAAAAGACAAAGCCATAGCAATCAGAACGCATTGTATAGGATGTTTTATCCAATCTGCTTCCTGCATCTGGTGCTGGAATGTAACACGACTACTTCAGTTACATCCCTGCCTCCTTGTGAGGAATAGCTGTAGTACATGTGCTGCTGAAGCGAGCACAGTGAGGCACAGTCTTTATGCTTCCATATTTACTAGTTCCATCACTGTCAGTTAAAATGAAATTGAGTATATAGGCTACAGAAAGTACTACATGGAAAATGAAACCTTCTTTTGACATATGTCATGCATCCTATTTTAATTCCGTATATACTGCAATACAAATAAAACTTGAAAGTTCAACAAAAGGTTACAAAATAAAGCTGTTTCAAATGTGCCTCACAATCAGTTCAACATCCAAAAGACACTCTTCCCAATTTAATTCCATACATAAAAGAGATAATAAGATCAAGCTACAAGACTTTGCTTTAGGATACAGTATACATTCATGTAAAAGTCTGATTAAGTCATTCTTAATAAAAATGAATTTGAACCTCATTCAACTCCTTCAGGGTCCAAAGAGCTGCTATAGGGAAAAATAACATTAACACTGCTGACAAAAAATAAACGCCTCACAAAATCCTAGTGTTGGTAGTGTTCTACCGTAACATGGCCACTTCCCTTTGGGTATGAGTACGGGACACAGTGGGTGTCGTTTTAGTTCCTGTGAGTTTGTTCAATTACCTCTTATCTGCAAAACTACTTTGAACTTTGCTTTAAATTAAGCAGCTATTGTAGTCTGGGGTTTGCAAGGGGAACAATATAATACAGGACACTGAATTATAAGATTATTTTATAATAATCGCCTAAAGAGTCATATACAAAAAAAGAGTGCAGGAAATCTGTCCACACACTAAAGCCCAAAGAGTCCAGCTGAGGGCCTGGATCCCACAGTAATGTCCTGCATGAGTCCAGTTGAGGACCTAGAGCCCATCACAGTGCCCCCTTGCAGGAATCCAACTGGAGGCCAAGAGTCCACAACAATGTCTCATGCAGACCTGTTTTATGGATCTCAGCTGGAAAGGCCCTAAGGTCAGTGGTGGAAGCTAGAAAGTCTGTGCCCACGGGATGAAGGATCTGTGCCAGTAGGCTGAGGGATCTGCACCGGAACCAGGAAGAAACGTTCAAAGAACCAGAGCTTCCCTGAAAGATACCACAGCCATCCTCAGCAACAGTCAGGTCCTGAGCTCCTCAGATGATGAAAACAGCTGAGCTCCCATCAGGAAAGCCAGAGCAACAAGCTTCTCCAGGAGACTGGCAGTGCACCATCTTCCCCTCTGGAGCCAGGAAGCAATACTCAAAGTGAGGACCAGAGCTCCCCCAAAGTGAACCGTAGCTATTCTCAGTGACAGTAAGGTCCAAAGCTCCTTCAACGATGAGAGCAGCTGAATTCGTCAGGAAAGCCAGCATGACAAGCTTCTCCAGGAAAACCAACAGCTCCCTACAGCTTCCTAGAGCCTCCCTACAGCTTCCCAACAGCTTCCAAGAGTTTCCCGTCTTCTTCTCCAGTTCTGCCTCTTATGCTGCCACCAACAATCCTCAGGTGGGCCTCCCACACCCAGCACCACACTGGTACAGTTCAGCTGGGTATTGTAAATTGACCACCAGTTAGTTGTCAATCCACCACAGCAGCCATTTCCAACAAATACATGATGGAATCTACTTAATGACAGGCAATGAAAATGCATCTCCATGCTTTCTTCAAAGATTCTTTATAAAGAGTTCCTTTGACCTCATGTCTTTGCTTACAATAGCCACATTTTACCAAATTCTACACCAAGTGTGGGAAAGGAATCTTGTTGCTAAACCAGCTGCCATTTTTCTCAGCTACACTGAGATGCCACAGAGCCCAATAATCTCAAGGGTCTTTTATTGATGATTCTTTCTTGACCTTTAAATGGGCTTATCCTTCTGTATTAAATTACTTATCAAAAAATTACATGTGACAAAGAAAGCAAATACAAGTAATTCTCCAAATACTTAGGATTAAGATAAAAATAATGTACCCTGAATAGCAGGCTTTTTATCAAACTTCCATGCATGATTTTCTGACTGTTTTGCAAGATAATCTATACAGATTTAAAGATCTGCATGATTTTGAAGATTTCCCTTAGCTACCTATTGAAATCTATACATAAAATAAGATACATGAGAAATAACAGTATTTACATTTTTTTGTAAAAAAAATGCATTGGAATACCAAAAATCAGGAGATAATGTAGCATTTTTATCAACAAATTAGGAACTGTAAGTTTTCCCTCTTTTACTTTGGAAAATATGCTGTTTCATTTTAACATAATTTCAGGGTAGAAAAAATACAGAAAATATCTAGCAGGCTTTTCTCAGAAAAATGTTTCAGATAGGGTCACCCCTTTATTCATCCCTTTAAACAAGTATTTACCCTGTATCTACAATGTATCAGGTCAATGAAAATGAAGGGGTAAGCAGAAGATTACTTGGTAATAATTGACTGATCACTATGAACCCATGTGGCAATCACTATTCTAAGTACCAACAATGTACAAATATGGCGAACATAAGGTTGTCTCAAGGCCCCTGCGTTCTACTCTGTGTTGGGTTGAGAGTTAGGTTATGAGGTGATATTCCCAGATCTTCCTCAGTCAAATATAAGACACTTCTCCTCTAGTCTAAGAAAGGTTTCTTATGTAATAACCCTTTCAAATCCATGTGAAAGAAGCAAGGACATGTCCCTCTAGACACATGCAGAAAGTGCTAATGTTATAAACAGACAGGATTTTCTGGTCTCTTTGTGACTGATACAGAGCACATATTAGACAGGAGGCAGGTTGTGACTGTTAAAATCTGGTAAAGTTATCAAGTCAATTTGGGGGAAAAGTCAAATCTATAACATTAAGTTTTCAAGATACTCTAAAGACTGGGTGTGATACACCCACACCGGCTCACATACACTGTAGTCTCCCTAACAAATTCTAACAGTTCAAATTTGTTCAAGATGTAACATTAATATGTCCCTAGGCAAGCGATCAGTGACTGTGTAGAAATTAAAAACATTTGCCAGTGAGATGAAATACGTATCAGAGTAAGAACAGATCACAAAGAAAGACAAGTGATTTATTTAATTAAATGGTGTTGTTTTCTGTAACTATAGGAAAATCATTTAGAATACTTTTGGTACCTGTTGAGCTGTAAACAAGTACCTTCAATGTAGGATAAAACCCATCTGACAACTTTTTAAATCAAGTTGCAATTTCCAGTTTTGAATTATTTAAAATGCTATTTTAAAAATATTTAACACATTGATTTAAAACACAGACGCAGACAAGCACAGTGGCACACATATCTGTAATCCCAGCACTTGGGAGGCTGAGGCAGGAGGCTCGCTGAGAAGTTCCAGGCCAGCCTGGGCTACTTAATGAATCCAAGGCCACCCTGGACTACACAGTGAGAGACCCGGTCTCAAAGGAAACTCCAGATGTTATTCAACTTGCTCTGAGGAAACAATGTTGTCAAAATGAACACAGACTAAACGTCACTCTCAGTCTGCATGACCTACAAACAGAAGAGCCAAGGCTTGATTAGAATATAAACAAAAAGGGTGTCCAATAGAAAAGGGTGTCCAATTCCTTTGTCCAATCTCCTTTGCCTAGTCCCAAATTACTACCTTCTTGTGGAAGGTTTCACAATTCCAGAATGTACACAGGAAGTTGGGATATTTGGATTTGTAAAGCGCCAAGATAGCAGCACTATGTTTCTATAGAAGAGTAGAATACTGAGCTCTACAGCTTTGCCCAGTTCTTCTGTTATGGCTTAGATCTGGAACGTCCCCCACAGACTCGTGTCCAGAGGTTTGGCTTTGGAAAGTGATCAGTCATGGCGGTGCCGTGCTCCTCAACGGATCCCCCATGAGTCCACAGCTGAAGGCGCTGTTAGGCTGTTAGGCGGCGGGGCCTGGTTGGAGCACATGGGTCAAGGGGCCAAGACCCGACCGCCTCCTCTCTCTCCCTAGCTCCGCCCTTCTCCCTCAGCCTGGAACGTCCTGAATGTGAGCGGCTCCCCTCCACTGGGACTTTCTACCCTGTGGACATGGTGACAGCGACAAAGCCACGTGAGGTAATGGATTATCAAGAGAGAGAACTGGGTGAGGCAGACAGAAGAGCAGAGAAGTGACAAGTGAGAGCGCAGATGTGAAATGTTGAGGAGGAACTCACGGGCACAGGCGAGGAAAGTGAGGGTGAGGTACAGAGAGCACGAGAGGTTCCAGAGGAAGTCACTCTGGCAAAACAAAACAAAACGAATAAAGCCAACAGCACCACCACCAACAGACCACTGAACGGAGTTTTCAGAGACATTTTATGACACTGGAAGTGCAAACTGAAACAGCTGGCAGCTGATCCAAACTTACCAAGAAGAATGACAATTAACCAAGGCGTGGAAAAGACACAGAAACAGAATTTGAAAACTCTCAAAATGAATTCAACAGGGGGAATAAACAGCAATGGTAAACAGCAATGGTAAACAGCAATATTCCAATCTCAGAACCGCCAAGAATCAGGTGGCGACTCTGGGCAAATTGCCTAAATTTCTTATTTCCAAAATGGAAATAAGAACACTGCCTGCACCTAAAGTTCCTGAGAGAAATTATATGCACTACGAGGCGTAGAGTATGCTGCACAGTGTCCTACCGAGCAGGGGCCCCATGAGTATTCAGCTGCTATTACCATCAATGCCTTTAAATGTGAGGCCTAGCTGGGTGGCCTCTTTCTCTCTCTCTCTCTCTCTCTCTCTCTCTCTCTCTCTCTCTCTCTCTCTCACACACACACACACACACACATACACACAATTTACTTAAGATGAGCCAAAAGGAAAATAAATTCCACCAAAATATTTCTTTAGGTTCATAAACACATTCCTTAAGACATGACTAGGAGAAAAAGTACAAAAATAACATTCCCCCTCACTATTCCAGAAATAAACATCAAAGCATGTTTTAATCCATCAAACTAGGGAAGATTTCAGAACTGTGCCAGCAGTGTGAGGTGGAGAATAGGTATTCTCCTTTGCAGTAGAGGTACTTGATACAAGGTCCTGGAACACTGTTTGGTCTTTTTTTTTTGAGGGTCTCACTATACAGTTCAGGCTGGTCTTGAGCTCACTTTGTAGCCCAGCCTGGTCTCCAACTCACAAGGATCCTCCTCCCTCAGCCTCGGGAGTGCAGGGATTACAGGTATGTGCCACCATGCCCAGCCTGGAACACTTTTTGGAATGCACAATCTGGTGCTTTAAAACATCTCTGCATTTCAAGGCTCACACACCATCAGCAGAGTTACTTTCACAGTAGCAACCTATTTGTTCTTCCTTGGATTTTTGGATTTTTTTTGTCTTTTTAGAGACAGGGTCTCGCTATGCAGTTCAGACTGGCTTTGAGCTTGCTTTGTAGCCCAGGCTGGTCTCGAACTGGCAATAGTCCTCCTGCCTCAGCCTCCTGAGTGCTGGGATTACAGACGTGCGCCACTACATCCGGCGAGCAACTCACTTGGAAACAACCCCAACACCTATCATGAAGAAAGGCCTGTAAACTATAGCACATTCACAGAAGTAGAGCACAAGGAGTCAAACCAAAATTCTGAAGACGTGGGGAAAATAAATTAGGATATGCAAGTGTATAAGCTGCAAGAGAACACGGGCAGTTTCTTTTTTTAAAGGGAAGACAACAACACAAAATAGAGACAGAAAGGGAAGTAGCAAAAACACTAGGATATCAATAGCACATTTCTAAATTTTAGGGCAGCAGGATTTTTTCTATAATTTTGTAATAGTACAGGGTGCTCTAAATGATACGAACTGGGCATAATGGTACATGCTTGTAATGCTCTGGGAGGTTGAAGAAGGACTGCAACTTAGAACCTAGCCTCAGCCTCACAGAGACTTACCAAGACCTTGTCTCAACATTAAAATGAAAGAGGCGGGTGTCGCCTGGTGTGATGGCCCATGGTCAATACCCAATTCAGCCAAAAAACTGTTACATACAAACCAACCTTCTGCATCTATGATTTCTATATCCAAAGATTCCATCCACTGAGTATCAAAAATATTAAAAGGAAAAGTTACGTACTGAACCTGTGCAGACTTTAATCTTGTCATTATTTCCTAAACAATAAAACTATTTGCATCCTATTTGCATTGTGTGAGTCACTATAAATAACCTAGAGATGATTCAAAGCATATAGAAAAATATGCATAGGTTATATGTAAATACTATGCAATTTGTGTAAGGGACACCAGCATCCATAGATTTTTGCCATGGAACCTGAGAGACAAGGTGTTCTTTTTTTCATTCAGAAAAAAATGCCAAAGCTTAAAATACGGCTGACAGAACAGATTCACTCCTGCTTTATTCCACTAAATGTCATTTCACTAATGACAATGCTACAATCAGCAAACTGCTTTGAATCCAAATTCAACAAATCATACTAATGTGAAATAATTTTATGACCCTAAAAAAAGGCCATTCCCTGCCCAAATCACACTATTTAGCCCCTAAAAGTTGGGTCTGCCAATATGTTTAAAGCTTTTCCTAACACCTGTGATGATAGAGTAGGTACTGAAGCTGTACCACTCCTTCCCCTGAAATAACAGACTTACTGAAATTCTAAAAAGAATTCCAAAAGAAGTCTAGGCACTGTCTCAAAGGTGAGAGTTGTGAAATGTCTCAACAGTTACCACGTCAGCCTTTTGTTCTTTTTTCCTTTTACACACAAATTGAAAACATTTCTAAGATCCGTAAGCATTTCCAAGCGTTATACATTGGGAAAAGTTCTTAAAATATATACTACATAACCTCTCTTCCATTTTTACTGAGGAAAATGGTTAAGCACAGCTTAACCATCTGAGGAAAGGTGAAATTCATGAAATATACAACAGGCTGATCTACCACAATATTTGACTAGCTTTCATTTTTCTAAATGTTGCAGAATAAATTAAATCAGCGTTATACCTTCCTTGCCTGTACAGATGTGTACTGGCCTGTAATGGCTATCTCAGAGCAGTACAGAGAAAGCAAGATGAATCTTATATTTTAAAAGTTTAGACTGAAACAACAGAACTCCACTAATTTACTAAGTTTCTTTCACCAAGCCGGTATGTAAATGTGGTTGAGTATAAACATTAACCACAACATATATAACCTATTTACCACGCAATGACAATTCTGTATTGTTGATGGTAAACCTGATACCGCGTCAAAACTTGCCTTCAGAGTTTTGTTTACATGAATTGTAGCAAAACACAGGGATATTATATACTTTGAGACTACTAATATTCTAACTATATTTTCATTAGTCACAATAACAAGTTGGAGCCCTGCTACAACTTAAATAAAAATTTTAGTATTGCTCTGCTCCTCTATTCAACACTTTCATCACCAAAATATGCATGAAAAATGGAAATACTTATTTATAAAACCAACCTGTGCCCAGAACAGAGTTATAGCCACAATCGGGAGAGCAATAATAAGAGTATATTCCTTTGAAGGAAACCACGAAACTAAGAACAAAGAAAACGAAAGAAAAATCACAGTTGGTATCTATTACAATCACTTTAAATCCTACTCTTTTTATCTTCCCTTGGGAAGAAGCCAGCACAGTACTGCAGCTCTGCAGCCACAGTATCTGGATTTGAAACCCAACCCTATGAACCCATGCAGCCTTGCACAATGTCTAAACGCCTTTGTCTTTCAGTATCAACTGTTACGCAGGTATAATCCAGTACCTACCCCCAAAGGACTGTTGTGATTATTAACAAAGTTAATATATGCAAAGGTCTTAACACGAAGGTTAACAATTACCAACTGCTCAATTAACTGTAATTATTACTGTGTGTTTATGTGTTGGTTACCTGTAAGTGCAAAGGGCCTAGAATTCCCCTCCAGGTGATGATGAAGTGCTCCTGTAGGACTGACTCAGGAGGCCTACGTAAGGGAACTCCTTGCAGCACTGTGTCGCCTCCTGAGTGTGACTAAGACACACGAGCCCTGCCTTTTCTCAAACGGACACTCGACTACAAGACTTATTCTTGAATGTACTCCAAAAGGGCTCATGTACACGTAAACGTGAGGGGCTTTAGGGTATTAAGGCAGCTATTACCAAGTGGGTCACATGTTACTTATACGGTGATAAAATATCCACACATCCTATAGCAAGGTAATTGAGATATTAAGACTTCAAATAAGACTTGGTGGGAATTTTAATACTAATTTTAATTGCAATTTATAAACCCCGAAGACCATACTTTTAGGCATGAGCTTTTTCTTTAATAAAGCCAAGGAATTTCACTGGAAACATTCATAGTTTGCTGGGGGAAAGTTGGCAGAGAATGGACATAGCCTGATGATGCTTGTGAGTGGTATGGCAGTCAAGCCCTGGCAGTCCTGTGAGTCCAGCATCATTCACTACATCCTCTGATCTCTGTTCCTCTGCATCAGCCTGAGAGACTCTCCATGGGCTTTCACTTCATGACAGCCATTCATTTCCCCCATTAAGTTTACAGAGCTAAACATTGGTAACTTGTTTATCTGGTTATTGAACTTCCCAGAATTCATCATCCATACAACTTCTATTGTGGAATCCTAGTTTTTCAGAATCTGATGGCCTCTGTACAGCAAAAACTTCTTCAGTTCACAGCTGAAGGTTCCTATTGCACTCTTTATACTGGGATGATCCCCCGAGCCTCGCGTGCTCATGGGTGGGGCTTTGAGGGGGTGGCTGGATCATGGCGGGGTGGCTGGTACTCACCCGTGGGTCAGTGGATATTTCCAGATCTACTGTGATACAACACCAGAATTTACTTCTCCTTCAAAACTTATGACTCAGTACTGTTCATGAACCTTTTCATGCTGCCCCGTAGTCTCCCCGCCCTTGATAATGATTATCCTACCTTCACCTTCTACTTCAGAGTCCACTAAAGAGTGACATCTTGGGATATCTGTCCTTCTATTCCTGGCTTGTCTTGCTTAACACAGGAAGCACTAATCCATCCACGCTGCTGGCAATCACTACATCTCACCCCTTTCACACAACTGAATAGTATTCTACTGCATATGTGGAACACTTTTTTGTTATAATATTCTCTTATTTTTCTAAGTTTCTTTTTCACTTATTAGTAGTACATGTTTGCAGTACATAATGATTACATTCCTCGTGGGGAGTGGTGCACACACATCATGTATCTTAATTCCTCATCTCTTCCCTTCTCCTCCTCCATCCCCTGCTCCCCCTCCCTTTAGCAAAAGACCTGTCTCCCTGTTTCCTGTTATGCTTCTTTTACGTTGCTCTTTGTATTTGGAGTTTCTCATTCATTCATCCACTGATGGCACTGAGGGTTGTTCTGCATCCTTGCTATCATGAATAGTACTGCAGTGGATACGAGAGTGCTGATCTCTCTTCACCATACTGATTTCCTGTCCTTTGGATACAAGCCCTGAAGTGTGACTGCTGGGTCATGGGGTAGAATTACTTTCAATTTTTTTAGGAACCTCCATCCTATTTTCCATAATGGCTGCACTAATTTATTTTCCTATCATGAATGTGTAAGGGTTACCCTTCATTTAGCACTTTGTTTTGTCTCTTTGATAATCACCATTCTAACTGGAGCATGGCAGTATTTAGTGGAGCTTTGTTTTTATGTCAGTGATAATTAGTGACATTAAAAATCTTGTCTGGGGGCTGGGGATTTAGCTCAGCGGCACAGCACCTGCCTGGCAAGTGCAAGATCGTGAGTTCGATTCCCAGAACCGGAAAAAGACAAAACAAAACAAAACAAAACAACAATAAAAATCTTGTCATGTACCTGTAGGACATTTTATACATAGTGTTTTTTGATTCTAAATACAGGCTTTCAAGTAGAAAGAATGTACTTGAATATGGTTAAAGAGATCCACTGGTACAGCAAGAAATAAAAACAGAAATTGTTTACTTGAGTGAATGGCTTTGCACAACACGCCAGTCCAAGTTTGTAGGAGAAGGCGGAGTCAAGGTACTATAGACAAGGCTGAAGTGAGTTCAGTTAAGTTGGTTCCCAAGTTCCTTCATAGTTTGGTAAAGGAGAACACTAAAGCAAGGCTAAGCACAAACACCCTCTGGGAATTATCCATGATAACCTGATCTTTAACCTCCTGATTCTCTCCCTCTTTCTTTGCTGAGGAAGCAAAGCTGCATTTTGTTGAACAATAGAAAGGCACAAAACTAAAATAAACTGAACTGAACTGAGCTAAACTAAACTAAACTAAAAAGCTAAACAATGGGAAAGAGGCTCAAAAGTTAAAGTACATTTGACAGCAGTAACAAATGCCAAATAGATAACCCCAAGAACAATTACCCTAAATAGAACAGTCCTTAGGGCAAAACTTTTGAGAACCTCACAATATAGAAAAAAAGCAACATTAAATGAGTTTTGCAGGGACAAGCAAAAGAGAAAGTAAGATAGAACTTATCTTATACCTCTAAACATTGTGTATTTATTACTATTAGTATTATTATTACTAATAATAATATCTATTATTATTACAAGATGTTCCTAGTCCTATTGTCCTCCCTTTAAAAGATCACTTGTAGCAGGACAAATAAAAGCTTTGATAAAAGTCTTATTGTCTTAGTCTGTTTTCTGTTGCTACAACTGAATACCCCTGACTTGGTTATTTATAAAATAGAGAGCTTCATTTGGTTCATGGTTCTGGAGGCTGAGATGTCCAAACACACAGCACCAACCTTTACATAGCTCCTGGGGAGGGCCTTATGCTGCTACATAACATGACAGTAAGCTGAAGGGGAGATGAGCATCTGTGAGGAAAAAAGGGTACAAGGGTGAACTTGCTTTATAGCAACCCAATCCAGTTCAATTACTCCTTTGAGAACTAACCCACTTCCTCAAAGCAGGTATTAATCTATCTCAATGACCAAATGACCTTTACGTGTCTTCACCTCCATAATGGCAATCAAGTTTCAATGTGAGGGTCCAATGGGACAGACCATATTCAAATCGCAGCACTAACCAGAACGGTATTCCAGTTCTATCATTGTTTCTCCTTCTCGGCTTAATTCTGTTACTTCACATGTGTAGGTTCCTAATTTAGCATCATCTTTATCCATGTGCAAAGAGACATCTCCTTTTAGTAATTCCCGGGCACTGATTCTTGCACTTGAAAAGCCACTGCCTGTAATGTATTTTTGGTCGGGTCCATTAAAGACAAGAACAGATTTTCCTTTAAAGTTCCATTTTACGAAAAACTCTCTACTGTCATCTGATCCTATGTTGGTAACGTAGCATGGGATGGTGACAGTTTTATTGCAATTGGTGTAATTTACAGATTTGATGTTTTTAAGTAGTAGCTGAGCTGAACCTGAAAAACAAAAAAAAACCAGTTTATTAGTTGTAAAATTCTATACTACAAATCTTAGGTATATCACATCGCGAAGTTTTGAGATAAAGAGCAATGGTCCAAAGCCTGGCGTGGTGGTGCACACCTGCAATCCAAGCACTCAGAAAGCCCAGGCAGGTATATCGCCGTGAATTCAAGGGCCAGCTTAGGAAACATATGAGCCCTTTCTCCAACAACAAAAGGGGGGAAATGGTTCAACTGTTTATTTATAAACAATAAAGCAATGAGCAATACTAGAAGGTGAAAAACAGAAACAAGTTTTTAAATATTAACTTGCACATCTGATAGACAACAGAAGTTTTTTTTATTCATTAGCAGAAATACAAAGTATACATTATCATTCATGTTGGAAGAAATTCAGCAGTTATGTTGGAACATGCACATACCACAGTTAGCTTTGAAAATTCTGAAGTAATCATGTCTTCTTACTGATATATTTTGTTATAGTTTATATCTAGATGTCCGGGCTGAGGGTTTAGCTCAGCGGCACAGCACCTGCCTGGCAAGCACCAGGTTGTGAGTTCGATTCCCAGTACCGGAGAAAAAAACAAAAACAAATAAAAAAAAATAAAAATATATCTAGATGTCCTCCCAAAGTCTCATATGTTCATAGATCACTGAGATCATGGCTGTGTGATGCTAGATTCATCCACTGGTGCACTGATAGCTGGATGTGATGCTGGTGGGAAGAAGTGGGTCATTGTGGGCGTGGCCTGGAGGATATGTAGCTCCCTTAATCCCCCCTGCTTCCTGCCTGCCACATCATAAACTGTTTCTCCTCTGCCATGCCACCCTTCCTTGGAGTCAGTCAGTTATGGACTCAATTCTTCTACAAACTGAGCTAAAATAAATCTTTCTCCTTTAACATGTAGGTGTTGGATATTTTGTGCCAGCAATGAGAAAGCAACTATACCTTTGGGGGAGTTGTTTTGTTGTTTTTGTTTGCTTGCTTTTGGTGCTGGGACTCAAACTCAAGACCTTGCACTTGCCAGGCAGGCACTACGCTGCTGAGCTATATCCCCAGCCCGTAACTATGTCTTATCAAGGGAAAATTTTGAAGGGAAAATCATATTCAGTCTCAGCTTCTATATACTTCTAAACAGAACTTGCTAAACTGATATGAAATTTATTTTTACCTTATATTTCTCCAAGTGGCCAGTTCTACTGTATTTTAATATACAAAGTAAATGAGATGAATCAAATCACATCTTTCCACTCTCCTGAAAGGTCTTAGAATACTAATGAGAAAAACATTCTCTGTGGCTATTTTTCCACAGCAAAATATATAGTAAGAGACATATTGTATGCAATTCTTACAAAGGAGCGTACACAATTAAATGGTATCATCTTGCCCCATATTTCCTTGAAGCTACAGAACAATTTCTCAATGCATATTACAGATATTCCTTCCCCCAAGTAACCATGAACCACTGAAAAAGGCCAGGAAATACCTGAAACTAAAAGCAGATGCTGTTAACGTCTAGGGTATATTCCACCAACTCTTCTCAATAGCATAAAGTACAAACAGCTTCCCTGTACAACACAGCTGAGTGAGTAGGTACGAGAAAAAGAGAAGGATCCAACACTCCCCCAAAGATGCTTTTAGTCTGCGGCTGTTCCAGGCACTTGCAGATATTTCTACTGCAGCAGCCTTCAGACGTACCCTATCAGACTCTACTCTGCAGCCTCTCTGGATGATTCCGTCCCTGTTCACCGCCCACTTCTTTTCCTTAAAGCAACCTCCCAAATGTCCTTAGAGGGTTCACTCTGTGCACTGTTCCCACTTATCCTGCAGCAGTAAGTCCTAATAAAGCCTCTTCCAACAGCATACTCTTGCCTACCCATGCTTCTATCTTGAGTAGTGTACTGAGCTGCTATACCAAGAGCTGATAATGCAAAGACTGCTGGCATCCAAAGCTGACACCAACACAGTTTGCTGGCATGAAACCCACCCGTGGTCAAGGATGGTAACACTGACAACTGCTACTAACAAAGTATGGTAAAGAGCAACGGAGAGCTGTTAGGAAAGCCACAAATTCTAGTGGCTCGAAGAGTTGTGAGTTCTGTCATTAGCTACCTGCTCTGACTTAACAGCTGTTAGCCACGGGCATTCAAAGCTCTGGGCTTTTAACACCAAAAGCACTGCACAAAGCCAACTCATGATTTCTTTACAATTGCACAAGAATCTTCAGTGGGTAAGATACATCTCGGAAGCACACACAGTCCTTTTTAGAGGGCCCTGAAGAAAAGGGTTGACAATGGTCGTGGTTGTCAGCAGGCTCAGAAGCCAACCCATATCTGATTTGCGTATTACATGTGCCTAAGATTTCACACTCTCCATGGACCCAACCACTCATCATTCAACTAAAATATATGACAATGCAAAGGGACTGCAGTTAATCCATACTCTTCAAGTCATTTATCAACTCTTACTTCAGTAGTTAGTTGGGTTGTCCTTCAAAATTCAAAGCACTAACAAATATAAAGAAAATATAAACTGTGTTAATAGTTAATTTTTAGTATTTCTTCTTATACATAAGCTGTAATAAAAAGTCAGGGCATAGGATGTTATTACTGTAAAAAATAATTATTATTAAATAAACATGCATAGAATTGAACACAATGATGTACTGTGAATATTACCTGGAAAAGGACTTCTAAAAAAACAGTACTTTTTAGCATGTTATAATAGTATAGGACAATATTATGAAAATGAGACAATGTAGAATTTTAGTGTAATAAACAAATGGTTACGGGAATTTTTCATCTGAATCAGTCTTTGGGGATCATAGCTCACCTCTTTCGAGGTCTCTACTTTTCTAGATATCCTAATATATGGAAGCCCTGGGCAAAACTTGGGCTGTAAATTGCATTCTTAAAACCTTTGGGGCTTTGAGTTATTTCCCCAGAGAGAGAAGCACTGAGGGGAGAAACTCTAGTGAAGGGAAGGGGGACAACAAAAGAATGATGGCCTTGGAATTACAAAGGAAAGCTAGTGTCAGAAAATGCGCTGAAAATTTTTGATGAATTTTGGTGTTTACGTCAATATAGTACTGAGCATTGTCTAACAGGTCCTTTAGAATAATCTGACTCTGTAGGCATCTGTGTTTTCCAGTGACTGTGACTGGTTTATTTTACAATTTTTTAAGTTGTCCATAACTGATAGTAGATACAAATTTTGTTTTGCTACCGATTTCCACCTGGCAAAAGAAAGGATTAAAAAAATCACGTTTTACTGACAAGCAAATTGGCCAATTTTGCATCTGTTAGCAAATTAATTTCAACACCTTGTTCACCTATAACTGTGTGTTCTCTTTCAGCGCTCCTTTAATTGGCTTTTGTCTTCAGCCTAGCTTGTGCTTAAATTAATGAGTTAAGTAAAAAGTTTAAATGTTATATTTAATATTTTATATTTGTATGAGTCATTTAAAATCATATCTGCCTAAGTTATTTTGACATTTTTTTTTCTCTAGTAAATGATAAAAGTGAAGAGTTCAGTTATCCTGTCAAACTTCTTGAAAAAGCTCTAGGTATGAAAGAAGTGGCTGGAAAAACACTCCATAACTTTATAACTTATATTTAGAAAATAAATTTCCCAATGAATGCAAAAAGCACTACTTTCACTACTTTATTTCTGTTAGTAGAACACTTCATCACTTAAGTAATTTACGTAGAATAAATGCAGCCAGTAAAATTCAAAGTAAAACTAACCTGGAAAATCTATGAGCTGAATAAACTTTGCATTAGTAATTAATGAATCAGGATAGTCCAAAATATCCCAGATGTAAAGGATATCTGCATCCTCTATAAAAAGGTATAGAAATTACTAAGTAGTAAAATGATGCGATCTGATATTTTGCTCTTGCCTAGTGCCTTCTGTTGAAGCAGTAAACTAAAGGGAAGATGGAAATATATGGAACAAGTAAAGGAAAATAGGTAACATGAATAACGAAATTCTACATAAGACATACCAGTGTAAATCACTCAGCAGATAAATTTAACCCGGAGTGATGTCAGAGTTACAGAGAGAACAGGGAAACATTTCTATGTCATATGTCAACAGCATTGTGATACCGTGCATGGATCCAGCAGGCAGATCCCAGCATCTTTTGTACAGTAAACAGAGAATTGCTAGCACACCTCCCGTGGTGAAAGAAAAGAAGCTACAGTTACTGAAGACCATGAGAAGTGTTCAGGACATGAGGAAAACACAACACAAACAGAAAAATGGGGCCAGGATGACAAGAAAAGGAACAAGCACACAGATAAATCTGGCCTCCAGGTTTCTAAGGAGGTGCACCCCAGCCTGGGTGCCTCTCACTGGGTCTCTAGCTAAGACCCATGGGAGTGACTGACAGAGCGCTCAGCTATCCTGAGTGTGGGGCTTCCAACAAGCACCGTGTTTGAGTTTGCTCTGATTAAACTGCACATAACCATGGCAACAGGACTGGCCCTGAGGCGTTGCCCAAACGTAGGTGGGTGAAGGGGCGTGGTCTCCCAGCCCTTGTGCTAATTGGACCTATGACTTCCAAGAACACAGACCACCAAAGAATCTATCCCAGACCTCAGTCTCGACAACTGCCATGGCGTGCCAGGGGAAGCCTAAGCAATGGCATCAGGGCACACAAGTCCAGCTCAGATTTTGCGTTTGCTTGTTTTGAGACAGGGTCTTGCTATGTAGTCCAAGCTTACCTCAAACTGATGCTGGGATTACAGGTGCTCCAGTGCTGGGATTACAGGTGTGTACCACCATGGTTGGCCCAGCTCAGAAATTTTAAACAAGTAGTCAATGTGCATTGAGAGTAACTTGATAGGAAACATTATGATAGGATGAGGGGATGCATTGATAAAAAAGGAGGAATTTTCTTTAGAAGGAGCTTACAACGCCCACGTAGGAGAAGAACATAGGTGATACAGTACAAAGTTGTAAGTATCATTCTTTGTGTATGAACAAAGTGCTT